TAGCCCCAATAGAAAAGGGACCAAAAATAATATCCAATGTTTTCTATGTGGTAGATGCAGATACCACATATTTAGTGCTGCTAGGAAAGGATTGGATTCATGTGTCCCAATGTGTGCCATCATCTTTGCATCAGCAACTGATGTTCTGGGAGGGTAATCAAGTTTTCAAAATAGAAGCTAGTGACAACTCCTTTGGTGTTTAGAAACCGTTGAGGAATATGTGCTTTATTCCGGGCATATTCCATTAACCTCGCAAACTATTTTGGTTTGCAAGTACCCATGGCGCAGCTGCAGGCTCACCAATCAAAGGTATATGTTCTTTTAATAGAACAATTCTCGTTTCAAGTGTTATGGCTCTTTGATAGCCAAAGTGTTTCTTATTTGACTAAGTTTATTATGGAAAGTACCAGTCTAAGCGAATGTAGTATCATAATTAATCAGTATTACTTAAGGAAACTTAAAAAGAGGTTGCAAAACGTAAGTGTTATAACAACGGATGTTGAACAGTTTCGTTGGCCAATTTTCTTCGAGAAGAAAGAACCATCATTTACAGCTCAGGACCCCCTGATCGAGTATAATGTAGAAACCGACCTGGTTCCAAGGATGGTCAGAGTAAGTGGTTTGTTGTCAAAACAACAACAGGGTCGGATGGTCGATTTGATTCGAAGTAATGTAAATTGCTTGGGATGGGATTATTCGAAAATGCCCGATTTGGAGAGAAGTTTGGTGGAGTATAGGTCACCTATCAAAGCAGAGTACAGGCCATACAAATAGCCACCTCGAAGGATCCGTCCCGAATTGATGCTTCAAATCAAAGAAGAGATTGAGAAGCTTTTAAAGGTAGGATTTATTCAGCCGTGTCGATATGCTGAATGGCTACAAATATTGAAAGATTCGGATCTGCATCGATTTTTGTGATCTCAATTTAGCAACTTCTAAGGATGAGTACGTCATGCCTGTAGCCAACATGTTGATCGATTCGGCCGCAGGACATCGGATTCTTACTCTGCTGGATAGATGTGTTGGTTATAATCAGATTTTTCTAGCAGAGGAAGACATTCCTAATAAAGCCTTCAGATGCCTAGGGCATTAGGGATATATGAATGGACGGTCATGCCTTTCGGATTGAAAAATGCAGGGGCAATATACCAATGGGCAATGAATGTTATTTTCCATGATATCATTGGTGAATAAATGGAAGTCTATATCGATGACGTGATCGTTAAGTCGGCTGATTTTGAAAGTCATTTGGATGATTTAAGAGGAGCTTTTCAGTGAATGGAGAGATATAACTTAAAGATGAACCCAACCAAATGCGCTTTTGGAGTATCAGCAGGAAAATGTTTTAGATTTTCTGGTACATGAAAGAGGCATTGAGATTGATGCAAACAAGGCGAAAGTACTCTTAGAAATACAGCCCCCAGGTCGGTCAAGGAGGTTCAAAGTTTACTAGATAAGGTAAATTATTTAAGAAGATTTATTATTAATGTTGCAGGGAAAATGAAGCCCATTACGAAATTACTAAAGGCAAAATCGACGAGAAAGCAGTTTCGGACGGTTCGGATCGGTAACGGACGAGGATGCGTTTTTGAACGGTTCAGATCGGTAGCCGACGAGAAAGCAGTTTCGGATGATTCATATCGGTAACCGACGAGGAAGTAGTTTCGGACGGTTCAGATTGGTAACTGACGAGGAAGCGGTTTCGGACAGTTCAGATCAACGAGGAAGCAGTTTTGATGGTTCAGATTTGTACCGACGTGGAAATAGTTTTTTGACGGTTCAGATTTGTAATCGATGTGGAAGCAGTTTTTTTATGGTTCAAATTTGTAACCAACGTGGAAGCAATTTTTGACGGTTCAGATTTTTAATCGACGTGGAAGCAGTTTCTGACGGTTCAGATCAACAACTGACGTGAAAGTGACTTTGGGACGATTTAGTTTGATATGCATATAAGTAGTCCCAGTGGAAAAGAATTGACATCTTCAATCGACATTAATTTCAGAAAAATTCTCATTGGGATCATTATTTTTAGTTTTCCAGTTATCCTTTTCAACATTTCTTTTTTTTTTTAGCAATATTATGTACTACATATATAGGAATCCGTGATCTCAGACACTTTTCACTCAAGTTTGAAATATGTTTTCGAATTTTACTTTTTATTGTTAAACTTTTACTATCAACAATATTTATATAATATATCATATAAATGTTATTATTTATATTACACAATATTAATAGATATATTTTTTTTTCTTGTTTTATCTTACGTATTAATATAATAATTAATGTTCAATGATTAACAAGAAAAAAACAATTCCAAAAATGAAAAGACAAAATATGTGGGACGACAGAAATAAAAATATAGATCAAATTAAGTAAGACGAAGGGAATAATATAATAACTAATATGCAATAATCAACACGCAAAAAACAAATTACAATAATTCCTTACAAGACGGAGAGTATAGATTTAAAAAGAAAGTGAATTTGGGTCTTATGGTCTCAAATTATTATAGTATTTATTTGACCAATAAATAGAGACCAAATTCTTTATTTTCAAATCTCTCTATTCTTTCTATTCCAAGTTGTGACATATAGAAGAAAAAAATGAAAGACAGGACATGAATAGAATTTAAAATTTATGTATTTTCAAAATTATATTTATGTTACTTGTCAATTTTATTTATTTAAAAATATAAATATAATTATATCTAAATTTAATTTTTATTTTCATATTATATTAATTTTTCAGATAATACTTTTTTAATATCATACTCAAATACTATTGAGATATAATTTCATTCTAATAAGAAGTTTATTCTTTTATATTTAAATTTAACTTTTCTAACATCTTAATATAATGTATTTTTTTTTATAAAAGAATAATATAATTTTACAAAATTTATAAAATAATATAATAAAATTTTAAATTAAAATTTAAAATTAATAATATGTATTTTTTTTTATAAAAGAATAATATAATTTTACAAAATTTATAAAATAATATAATAAAATTTTAAATTAAAAGTTAAAATTAATAATATGAATAAAATTAAATTTGAATATAATTTTTATTTTATTATATTAACCTTTACAAAATATAATATTATATATATTTTTTAAAAAATAGATTTAAATATTACATATATTTAAATTGTAATTTGTATTATATTTTATTTATAAAATAAGTATTTGACTGTAATATTTGAAAAATAAATAAATTATATTTTTATGATTAAATTATATAATAATAAAAATAAAATTTAATTTTAACATAATTAATAAATTAATAAGTAATAAAGATATATATTTTTAAAATATATGAATTTTATATTATATTTATATCTACTTTCTCTTCATGTTTTTCTCCCATCACTTTTATGAGTTATAATTTTATTTGTTAGAATAGAAAAAATATAAAAATTTGAAAATAAAAGATTTGGTGCACAATGTTTGGCAAATAGCTTTTTGAAGAGCTTTTAGTTTATTGAACAGTTTTTAGCTGTTTGACCAGTCAAAATTAGCTTTTTGAAATAGCTTTTTGTACCCAAAAAGCTAACTTACTCAGCGTTTTGAAATAGTTTTTTTTTAAAAATTTTTTATTCCTTATATGCCCTTAAAAATTTTATTATGCATTTTACACAAATAAATATATTTTGATTATTTATTAATTATATTATAGTATTTTATTATATTATAGTTTTACTTTTATAAATTTAAAATAATTAATTTTTATATAAAAATTATTTTAATTGTAAAATATATAAATTTATTAAAATCAACATAAAATAGAAAATATAAATATTAATAATTTCTTTTTATATTAAAATTACATTATATAAATTTTATACTAAAAATAAATTAATTTTATTAAAAATTATAAATATAATGAACTAATCGATAACTAACATAATATATATATACACGAAAAATTTATTATTTTATATTTTACAGCATTTTCAATAGAAAAAACTATTTATATATTTTAATAAAAATATATTATTTTTTAAATCTAACTGTAATAAAAATAAATAATTTTCTAATACTTTTACAATTTTCAATAACTAATAACAAAAAATTTTAAACATTCTAAATTCAAAATAACATAATTGAATATATTAAAAGCAAAAATAAAATAAAAATGTCCTCAATTGTCATTTTAGCGTATAAACAACTAATATCACATAGTTGTTTTACCAAACATTTTAATACAAACAACTAATCAAACTCAGCTAATCAAATCAGTTCATTGAATCAGCTAATTGAATCAGCTAACAGCTAACAGCTATCAGCTAATTATCAAACACGCTCTAAATGTATATACAATAAAAATATACAATATTTTTATATAATATTATAACAAAACGTATTATAAATATATTGTGTTGTGTACAATATATATTGTATTCTCTTGTTCTAACTCAAAGTATATATATATATTTTTTTATCATTTTGTTTATATTACTCAAAAATATTTTTTTATTTTACAAAAAATATTCATACATTAATACTAAAATATTTTTTAATTTTTATTTAAATTATTAATATATAAATACATATAATTATTTTATACATAAAATTAAAGAGCAAAATATCAAATTCTTTTACACGTTTTCATTAATTAATAAAATACATACTATTTTTTGTAATAAACTTAAAAATATTTTTTTAAAAAAAAAAACATTTCAATTAAGACAAAGAATTTTAAAAAATATTTCAATTAAGACAAAGAAAATATATCTTTATCACATATTATCTGATTGAATTAACATAAGATATCCCGCGGTTCAAAAGAGGCAATAATTTAATAAAAAGAAAATCTGAAAACTATATAATAAAGAGAGAGACAGCCAAAATTAGTAGTACAAATTAAATTAGGGTTTTGCAGAATCATGGGTGTGTTTGGGCTGGGTCAAAATTCCCACCATCTTTATTATTATTACCGTCCTCCGACCTTCCCCCCTCCCTCCCTCAATAAACAACTACTCCCCACCCCGACCCCCACCCCCACCCCCGCCCCCTTCCCAGTTTCATTCTTGTTCTTAGCTTGTGTGAAACCGCGTCACTTCAATTCAATTCAATTCAACTCAATTCTATTCTATTCTATTCTATTCTAGCTTGCATCGGGGGGCTGCCCACCTCCATTTTCGTTTAATTTGATTTTGATTTTGATTTTGCAGTCTTCAAAGACTTGTTCCTTTCTCCATCTCCAATTCCAACTACCCCTTTTCTTGACCACCTAATTCCATTTGGGCTTCCTTCCATCCACCTGGAGGAGGAGGAGGAGGAGCTTTGGCTGCTCACAATCAGATATTGAGCTCCGACTGATGAATTAATTATTATTGGACTTCGATTATGATCGATCGTGTTTTTTGAGGTTTGCCCATTTCTAGGCTAGGGTTCTTACAAGATTGCCTGCTTTAATTCGTTCCTTCTTACCTGCTGTTGTTGGATTTGATTTTCCCCCAATTTCTAGGGTTTTTTTTTTTTTTTTTCCTGTGCTGTGCTCATGGTTCCCAAGTGTTTCCTCGCCGTCGGATTGATTTGGCTGGTCTTCCACGGCGTGTTTGCAGCTGGAAATGGCTTTAGGAATTTCACCTCCATGAATTCCGCCCAGTCTCTGCTCTCCGCCGTCGATTTGCGCAGCTTCAACGCCGCCGCCGCGGTTTCGTCCATGGATTCCGACTGCGGCATTCCGGCGCCGGCCGCGAAATCGACGGTCGTTTTGAATTTGAAGCACCGCCCCCACTCTTCCTCCAAGCAAATCCGGCCGTCCGATTGCGTGGTCGAATCGACGGCCAAGGATCTGACACGTATTCACACGCTACACGCTAGGATCATTGAGAAGAAGAATCAGAACATCACTTCTCGGCTCAACCAAACCTCCCCGCCGTCGCCGTCTCCGTCGCCGGAGACATTCTCCGGCCAGCTGATGGCCACTCTGGAATCCGGCATCACCCACGGCTCCGGCGAGTACTTCATGGACGCCTTCATCGGCAACCCTCCGAAGCATTTCTCGCTGATCCTTGACACCGGCAGCGACCTGAATTGGATTCAATGCGCGCCGTGTTACGACTGTTTCGAACAAAACGGACCTCATTACGACCCGCGCGAATCGAATTCCTACCGGAACATAAGCTGCGACGATCCCCGCTGCCACCTAGTCTCGTCGCCCGACCCTCCGCACGAATGCCGCTCCAAAAACCAGTCTTGCCCCTACTACTACTGGTACGGCGACAGCTCGAACACCACTGGCGATTTTGCGCTCGAGACGTTCACGGTGAATCTGACCTCCCCCGACGGGACGTCCCGCACCACCGAAGTCAAGAACGTCATGTTCGGCTGCGGCCATTGGAACCGCGGCCTGTTTCACGGTGCGGCGGGGCTGTTAGGCCTCGGCCGGGGCCCGCTCTCGTTCGCGTCGCAGCTGCAGTCGTTGTACGGCCACTCGTTCTCGTACTGCCTCGTTGATCGAAACAGCAACGCGAGCGTGAGTAGCAAGTTGATCTTCGGCGAAGACGAGGGCCTGTCGAAGCATCCCGAGCTCAATTTCACGGCGCTCGTCGCCGGGAAGGAGAATCCCGTCGACACATTCTACTACGTGCAAATAAAATCGATCGTCGTCGGCGGGGAAGCGCTGAGCATTCCGGAGGAAACGTGGAGTCTGACGCCCGATGGCGGCGGCGGCACGATCGTCGACTCGGGAACGACGCTGAGTTATTTTGCCGATCCGGCGTATAAAATTATTAAGGAGGCGTTTGCCGGGAGAACAAAGGGTTATCCCGTCGTTAAGGACTTCCCGGTGTTGGAGCCGTGTTATAATGTGTCGGGAGTCGAGAATCCCGTGTTCCCCGAGTTTGCGATCACGTTTAGCGACGGGGCGGTGTGGAATTTCCCGGTCGAGAACTACTTCATCCGGCTCGACCCCGACGACGTCGTTTGCTTGGCTATGCTCGGCACGCCTCGCTCGGCATTGTCGATCATTGGGAACTACCAACAACAAAATTTCCACATTGTGTACGACACAAAGGAGTCCAGGTTGGGGTTTGCTCCTAGAAAATGTGCCGACATTTGAGACGGCATTCGGGCCGGGCCGGGCTGGGCCGGTTTAGTCCGGCCTGCTTGGACAATTTGAAAAAGTATTGTATAGATTTGGTGGACGGAGGGAAATTGTAAACATGTCGGGATAATGTGGATCGAAAATTTATTTGATAATAGATTTTTTTTTTTTTTTTTTTTTTTTGGTTTAGAAAAGAGAGGGAGAGAGCCATCGTATACGAATTTCGAATTGTTGTTTGGCTTAATGTAGTCTTATAGACTTATACCGATGAAATTATACAAATTTATGATTTTCTTTTCTTTTTTTTTTAGTTTTTTTCTCTTGCTTTTGAAATAATTTGGTTGATCATGTCACTTTTTTATTATTAGAATGAGTTTGTTATGATGGTATTGGAATAAATTACTATTTGTTTTGGTTCATAAGTAAATTAATATTTTTATTTTTATTTTTTTTTGATCGGAGGACATTAATGTTAATTTGATGTTATTAGATGTAATAACTTACAAGATGGCTGGGGGGTGTCTACCTAAACTGGCCAATCTTCCATTGTCATTTTTTCGCATCTTTTTAAAAATATTTTAATAATAATTTTAAATATAAGAATAAAAATTCAAAATTTTCTAATACGAAAAGAAACAGCCAACCGTTATGATTTACTGTATTTTTTTAGGTATCATTTTTATATTTTGTAAAATTATTCATTTACTAATCATCTTGTAATATCTTTATGAATATGCCTTCTCAATGAGATGAAATGAGAAGATAATTATTTTTACTCTTACACTTTTCGCTCTCTAAAATAATCACATACGCACATTTATAGATATACATGTTATATCTATATTTATATTTATATATACAAACTCTTAGGGTATGTTTCTTTAGTACTGTTTGGACACTATAGATCGAAAATCAAATGTGAAATCACCCAATGTCAAATATATTTCAATATTTTATACCGTAGGTCAGATATTCATAATTTCTTTTACTTCTCCTTCACTCAAAATTTATTTGAAGATATTCTTACCTCATTGCATTCGGAAGAGAAAGACCGGTATAATAAAAATAATCGGGAAGAAGAAAAAGGAGAAGGAAGAGGTACTGGATGGCTACTGTAAAATAATAGGGAAGTAGAAGACGGTAGGGGAAGAAAAGGGAAAGATGAAGCTGTTACGCATCCGGCCTGGACGCATCGGGACTACGGCAACAGATACAGTTAATTATTAGGGTTTTTTTTTTAAAATATATATAATGTATTTTAAATTAAAATATTGTTAATATTAGTTAAAAAATATAATTAATTTAATCTAACAAAATTATTATCTATCACATCGATATCCATTAAAACCTTTCAAACCTAAATAAAATCTATTCACCCAAATAGACGCAGTTTTTCAAAACTACCAAAAAAATTCAAATTCAAACTAAATCTTTTCGAAATTTTTGTGTTCACACATATATCATAGATATTAGATATTGTATTATTTTTATATTTATAACTATAATTATATTTATATATTTCAAATATATTATCAACATAAGGTTTTGCCGAGTAAGTACTAATATAAAGATAATAGTTTTTGTGTTAGTGGAGAAAGGGTTACAAAATTTGTGTTCGAAGAAATTTTCATCTTAAAGATCTGTCCAGATATAATAAGAGGATATCATAACATTATGGAAGCTCTGCCAAAATTTTGAAAATATCTATTTAATTATTTCTTCAATATAATTATAACTAATATATATTTGAAAAGGAACCCGAGATGTCAAAATTCAGTAAATAAATTTATCTAAAAACGATGCTAGTAGTGGTGATGATTTTATTGATAATACACAATTAGATGTGTGATTTTTTATGTACCATGAAGGTTTATATTTTAAAAACTCGCAATTCATAGTTTGAAAAATCTCTAAAGATATATATTGAGCACCCCGAAGATGCATATTTTGAAATTCTCGATTATTTATATTTTAAGCACTCTAAAGGTGCAATGTGGTACCCCTTATATATAATTATTTTTACTCTTGTATTAGGCAGCAATATAACGGTTATGAATTTTATTCTAATTGTTGATACATTTATATTGTGATATTTTTTCTAGAAGAAAAAAATATGAATACTAAATGTGTCGTAATTAATAATGTTGAAAATAATTTATGTTTCATTGATAGTGCATCAACGTACATCATCCTGAAATATAAGATATATTTCACAAACATGAAGTTGAGAAAAAAATCATGTCAATATAATAGGTGGAAGTGCGTAATTGATTGAAGGCTCGAAAGAGCCATGATATTTCTCCTCAAATGAATAAAATTTGATATTCAAAATGCATTATTTTCTAGCAGATCTCAAAAAAAAAATTTCTAAGTTTTAATATCTCAGAAATATATATCATACATCGAACAAGCCAAAGAATAAACTTTTGTTGATTACAAAATTAACGGTGAACAAAAATATATATTAGAAAAAATTGTCTTCAGGGTTATATTACACAAAGCTGAATGCAACTGAAACATTTTTTTGTAGACTAGAAGTCTACATATTTTATCATTTGGCATGATTAGCTTGGGCATCCATTAATATTATGATGAGATGAATTACTAAAAATACTTATGGTCATACCTTGAAAATTAAAGTCTATTAAATACAAATGAGTTTCGATATGTTATTTGCTCAAAATGAAAGTTAATAAATAAACCATCATCAACAAAAGTAGGAATTGAATCTCTATATTTTTTGAAGGAATTTACGGTGAAGTATGTGGGCTAGTAGATCCACCATGCGGACCATTCAAATATATTATGGTGCTCATTGATGTCACTACAACAAAAAAAAAATAGTCAGTTGTAGCAGCTTTGTAATGATTTTGTACTGGAGTTTGACCGGTGCATATACTTGAGTTACAAAAAGTCTTTGTTCCGAAATTTTCCATAACAAGAAGTGAGCGATCAACTCACGTGAAAAACCTTGTTGTAACAGTTTTTGTACCGCTAGCAATGTATTTTCAATTTATTTGTAGCAAATGTTTCTCGTAATAAAAAAAAAATTGTTACAATAAATATTCATGCATTTGTAACGGCTCTTGTTACAGTATAATTTTTGTTACAAGAAGTTGATTGCCAGAAAACTTATTTTATTAAGTAATAACAAAAACAATTAGTGTCAGATCTGCAAAACCTGTATGATGCGAGAAAATATTGTGAAATAACCTTACAAAATATAAAAATATTACAGTAAATCTGTATCACAATCAGTTGCACCAAGTATGTATTGTCTAGGAACATAACTATTTCGCAATACGGCCAAACGTATACAATTCAAGGGCAAGGCATAGCAACAAACTCACAAAAGGAAGCAGAATATGTATGTTCAACCAACGGAAAGAACTCAGTCAGTATCAATCCATAAACAAAAGTTAATCATCATAGAATTATGTATAACTCTGCATTGCCTTATGCAACGTCAAAGTGAACAATCTCACGGAGTGTTTGCGCTTCATATGCCGTTTATAGAATGAGCGCGGCCTCCAGAATGGTAGCAGTCGTGACAAAAATCTTCACTATGCTAATAGTATCACCTACGTACATTAAAGAAAACATGTGCATATTATTGAAAACAAAATGCAACTCACAAAATATTTAATCAATATAAAATATTAAAGATATTAACTCAAACATTACAGAAATACAAAACTAAGTAATGAGCAAGATATGCATTCTTACAGGGCCTCGTATTGAGGCACGCGGCGAAGAGTTCAACAAAGCAGACATCTCAGCGCGGATGGTTCTAATTTCAGACATCTCAGTGCGGGCGGTTCTAAATTCAATTAGTGAAATTAATCCAAGTACTTTTCAAACAAGGACTCAATATTGTCGGAAATATTAACGGTGGTGTGTAAGTGAATCTTAGCTAAAGTTCAGATCCTCGAGTCATTTATGGATTATTTCTAGTTCACAAAGATTTTAAATTATGTCTCCCGAAATATTTTCAAACTTAAGTATTCAGAGTAGTTTCTAAAGATGATGTGACAGACTCAAAGCTTTAAATATACCGCTGTAATATATTACATGGTACAATAAACTAGGAATCAAGGCCATCCAGTAGACTTTGCTATGGATAATAAACTAGCTTCGATTTTTTTTTTCTGTCATTTTTTTTTTTTTGCCAAGTCAAGTCACATATAAAGATAATCGGCATCATCCTCACACTATTTGTTTGTCAATCTAATTTTTAAGGGATCATAATTCATCGTCTCTATTAACAAGCGCAGACGAAAGTTCTAAAAATTAGCCTAAGTATGGAATAAATGAAACGAATAAGATATCAACCAACTTTATCAAAATCTCGATTTATAGTATACTAAAAAAATTTCAATTATTGAAAAAAATCAATTTCAAACTCAAATTAAGCACAGTAGAAATCAATTAACTCCAGAAAATAACATATTTCACGGCCAACTTTATTTTAAATAAATAATTAAATATTTTAAATATAATCAAATAAAATAATTTAATTCAACATAAATTACAGAAGATAATTTAAGCAACATAATTTACATAAAATAAATATGAATAATTTTTGCCAAAATAAATTAACCTCACATAAATTATAATTAGCACATATTATTTATTGCAGTTAAATGATACAAAAGGAAAAATTATTGCTGGCCTATATAAAGTTATTATTACTATTCTAATGAAAATTAAACTAAGCTAACTAGTTAACTAAATAATAATTAATTAACAAACCAGGCATGCAAGTTGCATTATCTAAAAGAATAACAATAATCAAACACATAACTAGACTAAAAAAAGAAAGAAAGATTTAGCAGCAAACATACATGATTAGAACAAAACTAGGTAATTTAATAAATAATTAACTGGTAACATAAGTAATAGGAAAATTAAGCTACTTCTTTCTACACTAATAAACTGATCTACCCTAATTAACATCTATGGCAGCTAGGTTAAACAAGTAGCATAATAAAAAGAACAAAACTACGTAAACTTTCCTATAGCAACACATGGTTCGCCTAGTGTGACTTGTTTGTCGGGCCTAGTTTGTAGGGTACTAGGTTCAACCGATGGTTTACCCAGTGCGCACTTCCGGATAGCAGTTGCGGTTCCCACGTCATCAAAAAAAGAAAGATCCAATTAAATTAGATAATAACCTAAACTAAAGCTACCTAAAAAAATAAAATAACTACAGACAAACCTAGCACAATGCAAACCAAACAAGAAGCTACATAATTAAATAACTAATATTTACAGAGACTCAAACGAGGGAATGCAAATT